CGGTCTCAGGTGCACTGTCCGTCTCAGGTTCATTGTCCGCCTCAGGGACGATAACGGTCTCAGGTGCACTGTCCGTCTCAGGGATGAGGGCGGTCTCAGGTGCACTGTCCGTCTCAGGTTCATTGTCCCCCTCAGGGACGATGACAGTCTCAGGTGCATTGTCCGTCTCAGATTCATTGTCCACCTCAGGGATGATGTCGGTCTCAGGTGAACTGTCCGTCTCAGAGACGATGGCGGTCTCAGGTGCACTGTTCATCTCAGGGATGATGGTGGTCTCAGGTGCACTGTCCGTCTCAGGTTCATTGTCCGCCTCAGGGACGATGACGGTCTCAGGTGCACTGTCCTTTTCAGGGATGAGGGCGGTCTCAGGTGCACTGTTAATCTCAGGGATGATGGCAGTCTCATGTGCACTGTCCGTGCCAGAGACAGTGTCAGCTGCAGAGGTAGTGGCAGTCTCAGATCCTGTGTCAAAAGAAGAAGAGAGTAGAAACTGTTATAGTATTGGATCCACTTTATTGTTATCTGAATAATGGTTACTGTGAATAACAATTTTCAATATTGCTTGATTGCACATTGTTATATACATATATACCTAATACTTCTATATGTAATACTTTTCTATGTATAGATTTTTTTAAATTGTATTAACAGTTTTTAGTGTGACCATGATATGGTCAACCTCAACATGTCCACTCTGTTACGGAAAATATGAAGAAGAAAAAAAGTAAGTAGAAAAAAAAATAGCCTACTAATAATTTAGTGCCAATTTTTTTTTAAATATCAATAGTATAATTAATATTAGTATATCTATCAAGTATTAATAGTAAGCAAAAATGTTGCTTATACAATTGTATCTGAAAAGAAAAAAAATGACCAATTTATCACCAGATAAGTTTTTTTAAACTGTTATGTCCCTAACAGGCTGGACATTTTTAATCTCACATTTCAGACTGATTTTCATAAATGCTAACATTTATTTTCCTGAGCTTGATCTTAATCATTTTTTACAACTTCCTATCATGATTACACACACAAAAAAAACAGTTTTTGATTTTCTACATTTTATGATACCCAAAAGGCACCAAACACCAGGAATGACTGGTATATGCTCAGATGTACAGATGATACAATAATGCGCTTACCTTCTGTGAAATGCCACTCCAGTTGTCTCTTGGTTGTCTTCCTGGTGATCTGTAGTTGTTTGGTGTCCTCCTCTTTCACTGTATTTGGTGATTTATTTTTCACCCTGGTGGAGTACCACCATAACATCACCAGACTGACAGTGATCAGCATGGTTTTGTTTCGGGGAACCAGCTGAATCTTCTGGAGTCTAGATAAATGGGCAAAGTCTTGCAGAGAGACTTGCAGAAATGTAATGTATTGGACTCTTTGCTCAACTGAATTAAGAGTGCAGTCAAGCAGAGTGAATATTTTTGTAGAGCAGAGCAAATCTCGCAGTCGAGCAGAATGCAAACGAGCAGACTGAGTTGTAAAAGCGATCAAGCAGATTGAGTATTATACAGATTCTGAACATTCTAATTTCGAACCTGTTATGTGACGTCACAGACAGCAGACAGCGGGATTTATGCAAAGCATTCTAGGCACGTAACTATGCTCGCACGTCATACATTTTATTTTATTATTATTCATAATAATAATAATAATAATAATTTACAACGGGCTACCAGCAAAAGAACCAAGACAATAAACAAATATAACAAATATTTTCCCCCAACGAAATTTAGTTTTTATTCGAGGGAAAGCACGATCACTCACGTGCAAGCAGAGCATAGCAAAACGTAATAGATTACGCATAACAGATCTCTATAATGCCCCTGTGGTGCTTTTTGTGTTGGTTAGCATGTTTTATTGCAGTGAACCATTTTAGTCGTCTATCGGGATCCTTAGGAATACGATTAAATGCTTTCCCTGTTGAAAAAACTGCATATGCTGGTTAGGTATGCTTTGATGCTGGTCCTTTGCTGGTTTTAGCATAAACCAGCAAAGGACCAGCTTAAACCAGCATCCCAGCGTCAAAACATACAGCATATGCTGTTTTTTCCCCAACAGGGTTATGGGACAATCGCGTATGTATATATATATATATATATTTAATTAAAGATAACTTATAGATTTAATATAGGCTGCTTTTGGTGCTTGACACTTTTTTATTGGTCATTTTGTGTGTTTTACGAATTAGATAGATGCATGGGTTAAGAAGCTTACTTAAATGTAAAATGTTTTTTTCCCCCTCTATTTTGCAATAAAAGACGGCTTCTCTTATTGATCAGGTCTCGGGTAGATTGCATGTTTTCTTGCACGGCGGGATGTTGGACTCATGAAAAATAATCAGGTAGTTTGTATTTGCCAAAACTGATTTACCGAAGTCAAAACACGGACTGCACTGTATGGGCTTACATTTCTGCCACAATTCTGCAATTCTCTCACAAAAGTGCATTTTTGCACGCGCGCGATCTGAGTTTTGTGGAGAAAATGGTCGTTTCGCAAAGAAAAAAGTCATTTTTAGATAAATCTATTTTGAATCTATTTTGCATTTATAATACGTTTTTGGATGTGTGCAGACCTTCTCTTTTGCGCGTGCAACGTTCCACTAGCTTGCTCACCTGATGCCCCCCCTCTGTGCTCGCTCAACAGCTGCGTGCTCAACACAACCCAGCGTTACAATGTGCCATAATTCCAGCCAATCAGAGACTGAGGCTGCTAAATTCTGATTGGCTGCCTTGACAACCAATCACAGTATTTGAACCAAGACAATAAACAAATATAACAAATATTTTCCCCCAACGAAATTTAGTTTTTATTCGAGGGAAAGCACGATCACTCACGTGCAAGCAGAGCATAGCAAAACGTAATAGATTACGCATAACAGATCTCTATAATGCCCCTGTGGTGCTTTTTGTGTTGGTTAGCATGTTTTATTGCAGTGAACCATTTTAGTCGTCTATCGGGATCCTTAGGAATACGATTAAATGCTTTCCCTGTTGAAAAAACTGCATATGCTGGTTAGGTATGCTTTGATGCTGGTCCTTTGCTGGTTTTAGCATAAACCAGCAAAGGACCAGCTTAAACCAGCATCCCAGCGTCAAAACATACAGCATATGCTGTTTTTTCCCCAACAGGGTTATGGGACAATCGCGTATGTATATATATATATATATATTTAATTAAAGATAACTTATAGATTTAATATAGGCTGCTTTTGGTGCTTGACACTTTTTTATTGGTCATTTTGTGTGTTTTACGAATTAGATAGATGCATGGGTTAAGAAGCTTACTTAAATGTAAAATGTTTTTTTCCCCCTCTATTTTGCAATAAAAGACGGCTTCTCTTATTGATCAGGTCTCGGGTAGATTGCATGTTTTCTTGCACGGCGGGATGTTGGACTCATGAAAAATAATCAGGTAGTTTGTATTTGCCAAAACTGATTTACCGAAGTCAAAACACGGACTGCACTGTATGGGCTTACATTTCTGCCACAATTCTGCAATTCTCTCACAAAAGTGCATTTTTGCACGCGCGCGATCTGAGTTTTGTGGAGAAAATGGTCGTTTCGCAAAGAAAAAAGTCATTTTTAGATAAATCTATTTTGAATCTATTTTGCATTTATAATACGTTTTTGGATGTGTGCAGACCTTCTCTTTTGCGCGTGCAACGTTCCACTAGCTTGCTCACCTGATGCCCCCCCTCTGTGCTCGCTCAACAGCTGCGTGCTCAACACAACCCAGCGTTACAATGTGCCATAATTCCAGCCAATCAGAGACTAGGCTGCAAAATCCTGCTTGGCTGCCTTGACAACCAATCCCAACATTCCTTGCATTTCCTCGACAGCAGAAGAGGACAAATACAGTGCATGCATAATTATTATGCAAGTTGATATTCTGATTATATATTTTTTCCAAGCAGACTCCGGTAACACACACGCGTAATCTCTCTCTCCGCAGTAGCTACGGTACGAGTTTTTCAATTTTTTCTTTATCTTTTGCTGCTTCTTTTTTTTTGTGACAATTTCTTGTTTGGCAGACGTTTTCTAAGCAGCTAGTGGTGCTGATGAAGATCGCTGTATATCAGCGAGAGCTGCTCGTTATTCTTTGCTGTCCTGAGAAGCGATGCAGTGCATTAGAATGAGAAAATAAACGAGGAGCAGACAAGTTATGATCAAAATGAGGAACAGATACAATCAGAAATGGTTGAAGGACCAAGTGTTGCCATAGGAAATAAAGGAAAAAAGAAAGTGAAATTAATCTTCTGTTTGCACTGTCTATGTGGGGGCATTAGGACATTGTGTGTGTGTGTGTGTGTGTGTATGTGAG